AAAAAAAAAAAAAACAAAACGAAAGTAGTGGGAAGTCAGATTCTGAGGTGAATGGTCTTCACCAATACATCCTGCTCACGGAGGGGCAGTGGTTTACCCAGGCTCATCTACCCAGGAGAAGCAGCCTGGCCCTCTGCCCTTCCCTTGCCCACCTGGTAGGACATAATGTCAGCCTGGTGACGGTCCTCCAGCTCAGAGCGCTGTCTCTCCAGGGAATCTTTGGTGCTTTTCAGTGTCTCCAGCTCTGTGGTCCTGGCCTGCAGCTGACGCCGGTACTCACTGATTTCCTCCTGGGCTGAGCGCATGGCATCTGAGTTCACTTTGGCTGCTTCCGACAGGCGGTCCAGCCTCACTAGATGGAGAAGGAGGAGAGTAAGGCATAGGATTAGACACCTGGATCAGGCTTCCAGTGCCCAGATCTGGAAGGTGACACGCATAGATTGAGCACCTGCCAGGTGCCAGGCACCATTCTGGATTCTTATCCTCTCCTATGAGATAGACAAGTGACTACTGTCCAAGGCCATGCAGCTAATGTGGCACAATGGGATTCGAATCTAGAGTCTATCTGGCTCCAAAGGTCAGACTCTTTTTGTCTTCCTGAGCTTTGGATCCACCCCTATACCATGCAGGGGAAAGGAAGCCCTCATTTCTGGTCTGAATGTCTGATTCAGCTCCCCAGCAAGGAACTTGCATAAGGGGACTCAGATGTGAAATCTAGTCTGTGAGGCTGAATGCTGAGCTGTTGAACAAATGAGTAAGCCAGGTCACCGTGTCACTATGATACTTCCATGTAGAGTCCAAGGTCACTGCAGATCCTGAGGCCTGTGTGCTAGCCCTCTGTCCCTTCCCCCACCTGACTATGCATTCCTTAGCACCGGAGCACCTGCCAGCAACCATCTCCTGGCTCCCAGAAGATCTCAAGGGGACGGGTGGAAATCTGAAGACTGCTCTCTATCCTGAATCCCTAAGTAGCAGCACCCAGAGCTTGAGTCTTTTGTGTGTGTGTGTGTATGCCAGTCTTGGGGCTTGAACTCAGGCCTCGATGCTGTCTGTATGCTTTTCTGCTCAAGGCTAGTGCTCTACCACTTGAGCCACAGCTCCACTTCTGGCTTTTTTAGTAGTTAATTGGAGGTAAGAGTCTCATGGGCTTGCCTGCCCAGGCTGGCTTCAAACAGTGATCCCTCAGATCTCAGCCTCCTGAGTAGCTAGGATTACAGTCGTTTGAGACCACTACAGTAGGGCTACAAATCCTGCAGTGGTCTGCCTGAGTGAAAGGCAAATAGAGAGTCCTCTCTGGGAGGGGCCTTACTGCAGTGATGGGGGAGGGGACAGCTCTATCACTGCAGAGGGGTGTGTAAAAAAGACAGGGAAATTCTAAGCATCCAGACCCCAGCATTCCTTGGCTTTCTGTGCTATGCTGGCAAAGATTTAGAAATCATCCAGATGGATAAGAATTCTCAGCTACCATGGTACCACACGCTCTTTGAAAAACCATTGGTGACACAGAACAATACATAGACAAAACAGTTTCAAAAGTGGTCGGGGGAACTCTCCAGGTTGGGAAACCCATCCTGATCTTTCAGGTCAAAAAGAAATGAAAACCAGAGAGGGCTGGCTGTGGATCAAGGTCACCCTGCAGCCACTAGGCACAGCTTCAGGGCAGCTGCAGTCTAGCTGACTCAGGACTGGGGAACTTGAGGAAGGGGATGGGGGTTGGGAAGACTCAGCTTTCCTGAAGAAGAGTAGGCTTTTTTTTTTTTTTTTTGCCAGTCCTAGGGCTTGAACTCAGGGGCTGGGTCCTAAGCCTCTGTGCTCAGGACTAGTGCTCTACCACTTGAGTCATGGCAACACTTCCAGCTTTTTCTGTTTATGTGCTACTGAGGAATTGAACCCAGGGCTTCATACATGCTAGGCAAGCACTCTACCACTAAGTCACATTCCCAGCCCAAGAACAGGTATTATAACTAGCTCATGCATTGTGTCAGCCATTCTGCAGACGTTGCTTTGCGGGCTGGTCCCACCCTGGGAAGAAAGGATGTAAAAACGCCCCACCCCTTTAGCTCCCATTGCAGATTAAGGTGGGGTTACCCATTGCGCAGGTTGTGGGAAGCAGCCTGATAAAAGAACGGGGGTGCAGGAAAGAGGGATGAACGGGGTGGGCAGGGGACGCATGGGCTGAAAACCAGGATCTATAGAGGAGTCTGTTCTATTCTTGAAGGAGACCTACTCAGACTGGGGTCTCCTAATTTTGCGAGAGGGACAGAGAAAACTGGGCGGAGGGCAGCCAAAGGAGAACCCCAGAGGTAGGCTGTCCCACTTAGAAGACCCCCATTAGAACTGGGACTTCATTGCTAGGTAGCACGCCCCTCGCAGAGGGAACCTACTGTCCAATCGCCCTGCTGCTCTCTGCCTGGGAGGCAGGGGGCGCTCTTCTCCCCTTCCCCCTCCTCCCCCCACCCCGCATCCCCGCGCGCATGCGCACCTCGAAACCACTCCTCGGACTGCAGCGTGCTCTGCACCGCGTGGCCTTCCAGCTGCGCGCGGATCTCACGCAGCGCCGACGTCACGTCGCACTTGAGGGCGTCGCGCGCCTCGGCTTGCGCCTGCGCCTGCGCGGCGCCGCAGCCCTGGATCTGGCCGAGCAGCTCTCCCACCTCTTCCTGGTGGAGGCGCCGCAGGTAGCCGCACTCCTCCTGCAGCGCCTGGGCCTTCTTCTGCAGCTCCGCCCGCGCCGCGTCGGCCTCCTGCGCGAAGCGCGCGAGGGCGCGCG